GAGAATGAATAATGTGGATATTTGACCATTTACAATGACAAATGATCTGCAAACATTATTGGTCCAGAATCTTTCAGTTGCCTGGTTAATAACGAATTAACTTTCTCCACGACGCAACCTGGATTACATTTGTGGAATATACTCTTATACCAATGGAAAAGTATCTATTTGTAATACAACGTCACGATTGTAGCTTATAACATAACTGATCGTATCTGTAAAAATAGCTTCCTTATTACCCAATTTGGATATAAATCAAATCAAAAATAAGAATCGGATTTGTACACACCCAAGTTATATTGAGGAATTACTTCAAGCTTTATTTTTTCCCAAGTATTTTTAATCCATCCAAAACTTGCTTGGGTTTTTTTGTTAATGCGAAGACAATATTCCTATATTTCATGATGTGCTCCATTGAATGACTTGTTATATTGTGGAATAACTTCAAGCTTTATTTTTTCCCAAGTATTTTTAATCCATCCAAAACTTACTTGGGTTTTTTTGTTAATGCGAAGTTAATATTCCTATATTTCATGACGTGCTCCATTGAATGACTGGTTATCATATTGTTCCCACAGACCTAAAACAAAACGCCAGCAACCATGTAACTTAACCATAAACCAAATTTATGAAATTTATATGATGCTTATCCATGCCTGTATATTTGGTGTGTCCTACACAAGTAGGAAAAAAATGTGTATTTTATTAAAACATTATTATTAATTATGATTGCTAATCGTATATGTAATTTATCATATTGATGATGCCTGTAAACTGGCGTCTCTCATGTACAAAATGAGAATATATTATTATTATTATTATTATTAACTGGCTTTCAAATACGTGTATTAAAGCCAAAAGTGGACATCATGATAGTAAGACCTGTGTGGGTAGCATTATACATTGCAAATGAACGCTGTCGGCCTAGGGATTATTTACTTTCCCATTCCATTTCCTATATAAATGTATTTATTAACGATATATTGCACTTATTTTATTACACTTTATTGATTCACCTTAGCACTTTTACTTTTCCAAAACAGCTTTCAATCCCCTGTAAACGTTGTACTTACCTCTATATTGGTTGGTTATCGTATGCCTACAACCACGGGATGAAAAGGAGGACAACTGTACAATTCAATAACTATACGGCCTGGTTCAGACAATGAGTGTTTATATATATATATATATATCAAACATAATTAACTTGTAGACAATCTACGATTTGATATTATATCATACTTGGTCGTGCCTGCAAAATGGCATGCATTTTCATGTAAATTTAAATGTTTATATGAAAATATAAATTATTATTATTATGTAAACTGAAATTTCAGAACAAATTCACCCACATTATTGGTGATCAAAAACACTGGAGCATAGACATTAAGTATACAGTGTTAGCGGAAATGATATAACAACCAGTAGATTGACCACTATAGAGCTTGTTAGATTAAGTTCTCGTAGTGAACAAAGCTCAGGTACATAATAATACCATACACTGAGTTAACGCATTATAGGAAACACAGATGCAAATTAAATGAACAATTATGTTCCCCACGACCCTTGCAACAATCATGAGAACCATCTACATCTGTTAGCCTAGCAGTCAGCTAATCAAACAATGGCGCAACAATAAGTTGAGATACTTTTATATACTGAATCCACATAACCCACACTACACTGAAGCAATCAGTGCGAATATATATTAAATCCATTCACAGGTAACCTTTCAAATTACGATAATTCCTGTCCAAACACATACACACACGTGAAAAATGCGTCTTTATCATGAATTCTGTTCTCAAAGAAGGTTCTATTAGCATTTATAGGGAATTTCCATGTACTGATAGCATTCATTTGTCAAACAGTACTGTTCTTTGGAAGTAAATAGACTGCGCTGATATCCTGAGGCGTGAACTCTTCACTGAATGATACTATGCCGAAAGGTGTAGCTTCTACAAAAATAGACTACTTGTGTAGATGATACTACCCTACAACTATCCAGTCTTGCTCATTATGGTATTATGTCCTGCTGAAACACTAATCTTTGCAACCAATTTGCTGAGAGTGTACCGCAGTCAGACCACACGACGCTCCTGACGCAAAAACGATATTGTAAAATGCAATGGAAACCGATACAATGCCACTAAACAAGTTTCTTTTTCTTCTTTTTCAGAAAGAAACGGTGATGTGGCATCACTGGAGCAAGAGGAAGACCGGTTATCCAAACTTGTTATAAATGATGATAACTAACTTGTACCCGGGCAATTCGGGTCTGGCTTGCTTGAAATAAACGCTTCCTCCTCGCCGTCTTTGTCTTCTTCTTCACCCGTCGTGCTTGTGGTCTGTGTGCGTTATAATTGGTGTCGGAGGTGTTTTATCTACGCCGAGACATGGCAGATTACCCTCAAGATGCTCTTCCCAAGCTCTTTCCGGAGGAATGTGCCCCCACATTGCCAAGCATTCCGCCACTTCCTCGCCCACCCATGTTCCAGCCTTCCTCAGACTATCCATGCTGGAAGAAACGCATGCTGGCGTACCTCGACATCGCCCCCGCAAGCCATCATTTCATCCACGTCCTCGACAGCCTGTCCGACGACGCCTACGCTCTAGCTGACGCGGCTGGGTTCAGCAACACCAACCCCATGCGCACCAACTGGGAGATACTAGACCAATGCTTTGACTTGAGACAGAGCTCGCAGCACACCATGCTCAGATTCTACTCCCGTCGACAATTACCAGGGGAGAGTTTCCTGGACTACCTCCATGCCCTCCAGCTCCTGGCAGCTGGCCTTGACTGCCACAAGGACCTCCCCAGCCGAGACCAGGCAGTATGCACACGCTTCGTCGAGGGAATGATGCCAGGAGAACTGCGCACACACCTACGACGTCAGCTCCCAACCAGCACAGTCGAACTACAGCGAATTATCCTCCATTTCATGGACGCGGAGAACGATTACACGCCTACACCCAGCAGCTCTCGATATCCACTGCCAACAGTACCCACAGCAGCCACCATGACTCCCGTCCGCAGTGACCGTTCCAGAAGCCAACGGCGTTCAAATGAGGATGCTACGCGTGGATGTTACTACTGCCAACGTTACGGGAAGAAGGCCCGCAAGTGCGGGCACAACCGTCAGCCCGACCGCAGTAAGTCCCCTATTTTTAACCTGTCTACATACTCTCGGTCACAGCAACCTTTGATGTTATGGGGATATATTAATGGCGTACCCTCTAAAGTTCTCTTAGATACTGGTGCGTCGGTTTCGCTCGTAAAGGCGGCCTTCCTTCGACGCGTGCCCCAGCACTCACCCCCAGTAACCGCACATAATATCTTGACGACGGCTAACGGCGCTAAATTGGAAGCTCGATCTGCTACAGATCTACAGCTGCGCCTGGGAGACTTAAATGTGCATCATCGGTTCCTTATCTGTACGCAAATAACATGGGACCTCATCCTCGGAGTAGACTTCATGACGTCCCACCAAACCCTGATAGATATTCCCAATTCTCGCGTCACAATCGACTCCGTTCCTGTAGCATTGTATAGACCCCAACAACAGACCTCTTCGGAGTTAAGGGTACCAATATCTACCACCTTAAATCAAATTTCGGTTGACCCATCCGCCCCTGCGCCTCTCCGAGAGCGAATGCTAGAATTAATTGGTGTATACGCGGATGTGTTTGATGATGGGGCTAATCCAGGACGAACTGGAGTGGTCAAGCACCGTATCGATACCGGCAGCCATCCGCCGGTGCGCCAGCCATCCAGACGCATCCCGGTGCATTATCAGCCCCAACTAGAACGTTTGCTACAGGACATGTTGGATAAAAATATCATCGTACCTTCCTCGTCCCCATGGGCGTCACCTATTGTGTTAGTTAAGAAGAAAGATGGATCCCTCCGTATGTGTATCGACTACCGCAGGTTGAACGCCGTGACGAGACGTGATTCCTTCCCGATCCCTCGCATTGACTCTACTCTCGACGCACTGAGTGGCTCGAAATGGTTCTCCACGTTAGATTTAGCATCTGGGTACTGGCAAGTTGAGGTACACCCTGACGACTGCCCAAAGACTGCCTTCATCCTTCCGACTGGGTTATATGAATTTCGCACCATGCCCTTTGGTTTGTGTAATGCCCCCGCCACTTTTCAACGGCTGATGCAAGTTGTCCTAGATAAGTTAGTTCCACAACAATGTTTAATATATCTTGATGACATCGTTGTCCACGGAAAATCCCCAGAAGAACACATAGATAACCTACGTACGGTCTTTAAACGCTTACGCACGGCGGGCTTAAAGTTGAAACCGTCTAAGTGTACCTTTCTTCAGCGAGAAGTTATTTTCTTGGGTCACCGCATTTCCCCAGATGGCATCCAGACAGATCCAGCGAAAACTCGCCTCATCTCCGACTGGGCTGTACCTAAGTGTAGTAAAGACGTTCGCAGCTTCTTGGGTTTCGCGTCGTACTATCGTCGCTTCGTCCCCGCGTTTGCCACCCTAGCATCACCCCTACATCGCTTAACGGAACAGGGTCGAAAATTTTTATGGACTAGTGAGTGTCAAGATGCCTTCAACGAGTTGAAGCGACGCCTCACGTCATCACCCATCCTCGCATTTCCTGACACGTCTCCATCGGCTGGCTCCTTCATTTTAGATACTGATGCAAGTGCCACTGCCATTGGTGCCGTTCTCTCCCAAGTGGCACCCGATGGTCGCGAACGGGTTATCGCATATGCCAGCCGTAAGCTCGACAAACGTGAAACCCGGTACTCCACGACACGCCGAGAGATGCTGGCTCTTGTTCACTTTCTCAAATACTTTCGTCATTATCTGCTTGGGCGCCCATTTCGAGCACGCACTGACCATCGTGCTCTGCAGTGGCTGCAAACCTTTCGCGAACCTGAAGGCCAGGTTGCTCGCTGGCAGGAACGGTTGCAAGAGTTTGATTTTACCTGTGAGTACCGCCCTGGACCCCGCCACGCTAACGCTGACGCCCTTTCCCGTCTGCCGCCTGATGTTTCCCCGGTGAATGCTATATTAAATACAGGTCTAGATGTTGATTGGGCAGCACTGCAGGCGTCTGACGCCGATATTCAACCTGTCTACTCCCGACAGCTTCACGGGAACGATAAACCGTCGAATAAAGAACTACAGAGTCTGTCTGATGCAACCAAATGCATCTGCGGTAAGTGGGGGATACTACGCCTGATTGATAACGTTTTGTACATAGTCGAACCGCCATCATCGCCTCGCCTTCTCGTGCCACGTTTGAAAGTCCCGGAGGTAATACGTCTTGTACACCAGCAGCTGGGTCACGCTGGCCAACGAAAAACCGAGCACGCCGTCCGTCAACGCTTTTGGTGGCCACTTCTTCACCACGACGTCACTGAGTTTTGCCGCAACTGTGCTACGTGTGCGCAGATTAAACAGCCCAAAGCATCCCCCCGAGCACCGTTAGTACCGATGCTTACCGAGGCGCCTAATCATCGCGTTGGGGTAGACGTAATGGGGCCAATAACAACGTCGAGACGCGGCAATCGATACATACTTGTCATGGTTGATTACTTCACAAAGTGGTGCGAAGCCGTCCCCTTGCGACAACAAGATGCCTTGACGATTGGCCGCGCGTTCATAGACAATTGGGTGTCCCGTTTTGGTGCCCCTCTTTATCTACACTCTGACCAGGGCGCTGCATTCGAGAGTTATCTTCTTGCTCACATCTGCAATACCTTTGGCATCCGGAAGACCCATACTACGCCATACCACCCACAGGGTAATGGACTCGTCGAACGTACCAACAGAACTATTAAGAACCTCATCAGTGCCTTCTTATGCAACGCACCGGAGAATACCTGGGATGAGGTCCTACCCCAGTGTTTGCTGGCATACCGCTCTTCCATGCATTCATCGACGGGTTTTTCCCCAGCCCTGCTATTGTTCGGACAGGAACTCCGTCTTCCAGTCGAGATTCAAACTCCGCTGTTACCATACGAGAAAATCGACTGCATTCCCTATGTCCGACATCTTCGCCACCACCTAGAGGTCGCCTACAACCTGGCGCGTCGTCATCTACAGTCCTCGTCCGACCAACAGAAGACTAATTACGACCGATTTGCCCGTGGCCCCACTTACTCGCTTGGCGATTACGTCTGGCTTCATCGACCATCCGTTCCGGCCGGTTCCTGCCCCAAATTCTACGCTCCCTGGCAAGGACCCTATGAGATCGTCCGGCATCGACCCCCGACTACGTATGTCCTGCGGCATCTGCAACGGCCTCAAGCGAAGCTAGTCACAGCACATTATAATCAACTGAAACCACATCATCCAGCAGCCGTCACGGAACCGTCTCCACCCGCGCAACCGCCGCCCGCAACCAGCTACGTCGAGGTGCCGCCCGATGGAGGTGTTGCATACCCTACACCACCACCGGGCACTGAGGACAGTGCCTCCAGAGGGGAGGAGGCGATGTAATGCAATGGAAACCGATACAATGCCACTAAACAAGTTTCTTTTTCTTCTTTTTCAGAAAGAAACGGTGATGTGGCATCACTGGAGCAAGAGGAAGACCGGTTATCCAAACTTGTTATAAATGATGATAACTAACTTGTACCCGGGCAATTCGAGTCTGGCTTGCTTGAAATAAAGAGAGAGGGTATACGCTATAACCAGGTGTTATCGCGCAGCGACATCGGTTACCGCGTTCACGGCTACAGGCGTTATAATCGCCTATTAATTGGGAAATAGATCATATTTGACTAGTTTTAGACTTCTGGAGCCACACGGCATTATTTTGTTCATAGTAAAGCGTAAAATTTTATATTATAGGTCTGACGGATTATCAATGAAGAAGTCATCCTTTTGAAGAAAGTTCGCATAGAAAGAGTATTATTAGCATTATAGTGCGTTGAGGGTTTGTTTTTCGCAAGTTGTTTCAAATCTTAAGGTTGTAAATATACTACAGGCAATGGCAGAGTACTTAATGTCAGAGTACTTAAAATGAGTATCAGCTTTCTGTTGATTAGTAGCTAGCAGCTGTGTCATACAACTACTACACCTGTTACATAGATTATATCAATCTTAATAATTATTTTGTTTCAAATCACTAAGATATTCTGAAAATTGTATTTTAATTATGATACAAATTCAGTTTATTTACATATTCAGAGTACGATTGATTCCTGCGACTACTTCTACTACATAATTCCTGGCAAACACTTCTCCAAATTCGTCATGAATTTTCCTCAAGCCCTTATTCACAATGCTTATATAGCTTTCGAATGCGGCACTTCGATTTCGAAGGACAACAGCTGACGTGCATTGATATGCGAATAAGTCGCGTGACCACGCCCATTGTTTGAAATTCTGCATCACATGGTTAACTACAAAAGGTGAAACAAAAAACGTAAAGATGACTATAAAATGAATGTTACACGTGCAATGATGGTAGTGCTTGTGTCTTGTTTCCGATTAAGGCAATGTACATACGAATAGGTTAATAAAAAGTACAACTTTCCGTATACAAGAACATTAATTAATTAAATTTCGGTCGACATAAATTAAAAACGGAGTCATAAAAACGCAAATATACCTGTGAAATACGGCTTTCTGAAGTAGACCAAAAGCAAGTGTCGGTCATTCTGCATGTACACCCTGCTGCATAGATGGTTATGTACCATATTGTGGGAAGCAATTATGAATTCACTACTACGCAAAACCACGCGAAATGAAGACGAGCAATTGCAACATTTAGACCTGAAATATTCATGAAATCATACTACACTTCTTCTTACGACTTATATTTCAATTTCAATCCAGGTTTTGTGCGATTCACTCCAAAAGTGCATTTAAAACCAACAAAAGCGTATTTAAATCTGTCATCCGGTATCGTTTTGCTATAAGTATGAACATAGTGAGTGCAGGACAACTATATTGTTAGCATTAAATGACTTCCTCATTTTTTGGAATTCTGCCAATGACTTCTCAAATTCATCCCAGCTTAAAAACGCCTTCCAAGTATTAATTCACCAAAAATTCCACTTAAGTCTGTGCTCCTTTCACTCGAATTTACTACCTGCAACGGACTAAAATAAATTTATCAATTAGTATCTATCTATGTCACAACTATTCCAAGATAAATCGTAAAAAAACAACATTGAAATACAGGCATGATCAATAACCATCAAGAAAATACCGCACGTATAACCTAAATTAAAGAAAAACACAAGAACCCACCGGTTCGTTGACATCGCAAGCAACCGATAGACCAAACAACGAATTGTACGACACACAAAGCCTAGTACATGCACAAACAAAGAAAAACAAAGCGTTAAAATAGTCTAATTCACGTTTATAGTCATCACATATACTGGTAAACGACGCAAACACAACCACGCCAAGACAGCACCCGACAGCACGCACCCAAGGACAATTCAAACTCCAATTGGCCGCCACTGTTCTAGCCAATGAAAGACGAAAAAACCTGAATCGCGGAAAATATAACCACGTTATAACGTATACCCTCACCCGAAATAAACGCTTCCTCCTCGCCGTCTTTGCCTTCTTCTTCACCCGTCGTGCTTGTGGTCTGTGTGCGTTATAATTGGATATTGGGAGCGCTCAATTCATTTAGTGAAAATGACCTTCGAAAGTCAAGGTCTTAGTGAAAGTGACTTAGGAAAGGATGCCAACGTTTTAATAATGGAGTTGAATAAAGGTATTTCATAAACATTTCCCTCCCATCAACTTTGTATAGGTTTCCAGTCAACAAACTTAGGGATCCAATGCAAGACTATTGCGCAATTCCCCTCCGTTCTTGAAAAGTATCCATTCCCTGTTGTAATAAATTCAATATTACTCAAAATTACTCAGATTTTTTGCGATGGGTAAGAGCCACTTTCACGTTTATCCTCCAGAAATAATCATGTACGCCTCTGTATACTACGTGCGTGCGCAGAATGCAGAACTCACTTTAAAAAATTGACAGTGTGTGAAGATATCATCCGTAAATTACTTCCTTTTACAGAAAGCAACGACCCAACTGTCCGTGCTTTAACTCTACGGTAATATATGCCTGGTTTTAATTTATTCTTACTAGTTTGTTTGGAATTCTGGATGAAATCACGCGTGAACACCTTGGAGTTCATCATGCCATCTTAAAGCAAATCGAATCACATTATGAAGTAGAATCGGATGCAGCTGTATGGGCCTGTCATACAATCGCCCCAATATCTAGGTATCTTGAATGTACTGTTCCTATCTTTTAGTGTGTTTGCTGGTAGTCTTTGCCCCATATTGTGTAAATTACTCAATGACTTGTCTACAGACACTGACACTAAGCTCAAACTTCTGCATTTAGGAAAACATATGCATCATAATTCTACAGTTTCTGAAGAGGTATTCACAAATGCATTTATAATTATTGTTTCAGATACGTCGTTGCTTGATCGAGATGCTTAACACGTACAATACTACTAATTTCGTTAGTGCCATCTTAGATACACTTACCACTCTAGAAACTCGTGCCCCACTACATGTTCACAGCCAAGTTAGTTAATTTTCAGATAAAATACTAAAGTTTTTAATTTGGTAATAAACGTTCATATAAGTCTATGCAGGAGCTTAAATAAGAAAAGTTAAGCAGAATGCATAATTACTTCACTTTCAGTTGCCGTTGTTTTCATTATCCAATCCAACCTCAATTGTTATCATGCATTTTCACGAAATGAAATCATTGTAAGAAAACAGAACTCTTGGTTTTTGCTCCATCTCTAATCCTTTAGATCACATGTTTAGTCTTAAGTTTGTGTCGCATGACTTACTGACTGAGATGAGTCTCAACCAGTTACTTTCAGATTCAGAATTATTGACTAAGGATAGAAGGCTTGTTATAACGAAAAATACGAACTTTCTAAATTGAAATTTATTAGTTTCCTAGTGGAATATAGGGCTTCAACAGCATATTTCAACTGCATCCTGTTCTCTTTGTCCCTCTCTAGCTGGCTTTACCATTGTCCATAAGTTGTCATCCCCTCCTCAACTGATCCCTTCCATGTCACCTTGGGACACACCTACCCTTTCGTTTATCATTCGGGTTCCACTCTGGAGACAGCGTGGCGCGCAATTTCGATTGACGATCTCTTCAGAATGTGCCCGGTCTACTTGTATTTCCTTTGCATATTTTTTTGGGCGATATGTTCTTAATTGGTTCATTGCTGCACTTCCTCATTGCTTATTCTTTTTGGCCATCCGGTCTTCGGTATCGAAGTAGCGAAGGCAGCTGTTGAGAAGATTTTGCAGTTAGTTTAGAATACTTTTTGCGAAGCGCGCTTCAAGTTTCCGAAAAATAAAGGTGTTGAAATCTGAATTGTGTTCTTTATGCTGCCTTCATATGGCGTAGGCGTTCCTCACATACGTGTAAGAACGAATAGTAACGTCTGGCACCTACAACCGGACAGGTGAACACGCAAGTCTTCTCAGGGGAGCTGCATAGCCCTGACTGCAAACTTACGATGTTCATGGACTCCAGAATCCGAAAGGACTGAATGGCGTATGAACGTGCTTTGGTTACTGGAAACCATAAGAATACAACTTCTGAGGCTACTTCGCTGTCTTGTAGATCAGGGTTGAATTCAAACATTCGCGGGGCGGCCGACTAAAGCGACCACCTGCTTCAGCCTGGGAGTCCGAGCAGTACCTCAGCCCTCGCACAAACTATGAGATTTTGTGTGGCACATTTCTTTGCGCCCACAATGTACCACTTTTGTGTTTTAATAAATAATAATAGACAATTAGACATATGAAGATAGGATTTAGCACAGGACTATTATGCATAAATCAGTTCATGACTTTCAAGTTGTTTTCTAGTGTGTATTGTAATTATCATGAATTTGAAGTTTTTAATTCAGAACTGCATTCCTTTTAAGGTGTTTAAGGCTATAGAACTTCAGCCAACCATCCAGGAGTGCTAAACCAAAAGTTTTGGTCACCATATATGTTATCCGTTTCCTTCCATGTGTCACAAGCGGATCTAACAACCACTACCTTACTTTGAGTACCACTAGTGTTTGAAACGACCTGAAAAACATTGTACAGTTTATTTCTCAATAATACAGACGAAATAAGCAGTCTGGCTTAGCATAACCTGAAAATCTTATTTGACTTGTTTCATGTTTCAGTTGAGTTCTTTATGTATGTAAGTGGAAGACATGAAAAGGCCGGTTGGCTATCTGTCTTTGATCATAGGCGTATCCGTCCTATCTCCCGTGTTAAGACCGGGAAGAGGGTGTTTTAGACCAGGAAGAGGGTGTATTGATCATATTTTCACCCTCCGACAGATTCTAGAACATAGGAATTCCTACCGGCGTCCAACAGTCATTACATTTCTTGACCTAAAGGCAGCATTCGACTCTGTCGATCGGGAAGTTCTCTGGAGATGCTTGGCTGTAAAGGGAATTCCAAGAAAATATATTGCACTGATTAAGGCACTCTACTCGTACTCATACAGCCAGGTGAGGGCTTACGGCGAGCTGTCATCTGAACTGATGACGACTTGTGGTGTCCGTCAAAGATGCCCATTATCTCCTTTTCTATTCAACTTCATCATAGATGTGTTAATGGACTTAACCCTAGGTGACTTCAGTGACTCAGGAATTGACTTGCTACCGGGGAATAATCTCGTTGACTTGGAATATGCAGACGATATAGTCCTTCTAGGCGAAGACGCTGACGAAATGCAGAGTCTTCTAAACACCTTGAGCTGCAATCTACGAATGTTTGGCATGCGATTCGCTCCCGCCAAATGCAAGATGATGTTACAGGACTGGACTACATGGACGCCTAGTTTAAAAATAGGAAGTGAAGTGGTAGAGCACGTTGACCGCTTCACTTATCTGGGAAGTACCATCAGCCAGTGCCAACGGGTTGATCTCTGACGAAATCTCAGCACGAATACAAGGGGCTCGTTTCGCATTTGCCAGTTTACGCCGTCTCTGGCGTAGACGTGATATCCGGCTGGCTGTCGACCAAAGGGCGGGTGTACTGCTCATCAGTCCGCTCCGTCCTCCTTTATGGTTGTGAGACCTAGCCACTGAGAGTGGAAGACATGAAAAGACTAGCTGTCTTTGATCATAGATGCCTGCGCTCTATTTCCCGTGTAAAGTGGCATAATAAGGTGAGCAACATTGAGGTTAGGAGTCGAGTTCTAGGTAAACAGGGGAAATCAATCGACGAAGTCGTGAAGTTACAAAGACTGAGATGGTTAGGTCATGTGTTACGTATGCCAAGCCATCGCCTCCCTCGACGAGCAATGTTAGCGGATATAGGGTCAGGCTGGGAAAAAGCTAGCGGCGGTCAAACAAAAACTTGGCACCAGTCAATAAAATCCACAACAGTTGGTCTAAGCCATGTAGGAAGGTGTAGACTTCCAGGCTGGGGTCCTCGGGACGGTAAAACTCTATGGTTGGAAACAATTGGTGACATGGCTCAAAATCGTTCTCAATGGCTGGTGCGGATGCATATACTCTTTGTGATTTGTCGTATCCAATAAAATTTTATTATTGTTCCGTACTTCTACTCTTTTTAACCTCACATTTGTGTTTATTATCTTTGTTTTGAATCTCTCTCCACTCTTTTTTCTTGCTTTGTGTGGTAAACGGAGTTTGGCAACTCGAACTAATGCACATCTGTGCAAAATTCTACGTTGAAACCACTCAGTCAGTCATGTATGTATTATACTTCTTCAGATAATCGTTTTCATCATATTCCTAAAGTATGTTTCTCTTCTTATATATATATATATATCTTATATATATATATATATATAACTCTGTAGATCGATCTCCTACTCAAACGGTTATCAATAGAAAAAAGGCCTCAGGTTCGTCAAAGCGTCCTTTGGAATTTGATTACTCTAGCCGAAAACATACCTCACCACTTCGATAAACCTCATTTTCTTGTAAGTTCTCAACTGTTGATTTTAATAATATAATCTTCGTAAATTTGAGAATGTTATTTTATTATTATTATTTCCTTTAACTCCTAGAGGAACATAAGGCTTCAGCTGCACGTCTCCATTGTGTTAGGTTTTCTCCTAACTTTTTTACCCCGCTCCAAGTCTGCCCACATGTTTTCATCTCCTCTTCGCATGACTTCCTCCAAGTCACCCTCACAATGACTACCAACTCGCCGCTTCCCTTTCGTGTTCCACTCGAGCGATGGCTTGTCTAGTGGTGTCACTTGCTGGTTTCCTCAGAGTATGGCCAATCCATCTCCATTTATTCCTGCCTATTTGTTGCACAATCGGTTCCTGGTTGGTTAGGGTCCCTCTGCTAATCTTTTTTGGCTGGCCATCTGATCTCGAGTATTGAGCGAAGACAACTGTTAATGAAGGTTTGAAATTTGTTTGAGATGCTCTTTATGACGCTCTGGCCAAGTCTCTGATCCGTATAGTAGCAGTAACTTCACATTGGAGTTGAAAATCCGGATCTTATTTTTGATGCTGAGTGCTGTTGACCTCCACACAGACTTGAGAGTAATGAAAGCTTGTCTTACTTTTCCGATTCTGGCTTTCATATCCTCGTCAGTTCCGCTGGCCTGTAGTTGAAACGATGCTTCTCAGGTAGGTGGGTAGGTGAAGGAGGTTGTTTCTTTCAGGTTCCTCCCATTTATGCTGGCTGATTGTTGTCTGTTGTTGCTGTGGCTTTTGGTGTTGGCCAAGAATCTTCATCACCTCTGTTTTCTATATGTTTACTTGGAGTCTTATCTTTGATGCTTCTTCTGCCAAATTGTTGCTTTCCACTTGCATATCTTCCAGTTTGCGGGAAATCAGACATATATCATCGGCGAAGTCCAGACCCTTCAAGTTTTTCGTGAGGGTCAATTTTATGCCTGTTTGTTATTTTATTGGATTGGGTTAATTAATTTAGTTTCTTAATCTAGTATTTAAATCACTTGAGCATAGAAGTATCTAAATAAGACTAATGTAACTCTCTGAGAAGTTATATTCATACATTTAGTTCAGATGTTAACCGAGTGTTTTGATGTTATTTAGAATAAGAGATAATGTTATTCGGGCCTAACAAAGAAATACATTAATGCTGATAGTTGGTAAATAGTTCTGCAGTACTACTATGAGTGCAACTCACTTGGTTAAAATGAAAACGGGAGAAGAGGATTCACTACAGAAGTGTAATGTAGCTAGATGAAAGAATAAAGTGAACAACACATGCAGTTCTGAAGAACGGCGAATACTGATGTTGGTGTCCTGTTATCTTTTCTTTTCAAACACATAGATGATGAGACTTTTTGATGCTAACTTATGGGACTGTTTTTTGTCTCTATCTAATTCTTCATCTTTTTAAAGAACACCGCTTTACCCTGTTAGAACTTGAGAATACCGCCAGCTCTGTACACCCGATTTCATTTTAAGGTCTTACGTATCTCGTCCGCAGTTGGAAGGTTGAAGACACAAACCATCGTTTGTGTGCGCCTTGATGGAGATAGTATTGTATTTATGTCTGTCTTACGATTTTTAATAAACTTAACTAACAGGCAGGGAGATTGTACTATGCAAATAATATATGACATTTTTTCTAGAAGCGTGGAAACTGTTCAGATACCTCGAGGTGTTCTGTAAATGTGTTTTTTCGCTCGCATCATTTTAAATCTGTTCCTAATTTAAAACATATTTTAAAACACCCAGGCAGACTGTGTGTTATATGCCAGACAGTGATGGGTTGAAATGTATCCAAATTAATGACTGAATAAGTTTCGACGTAGACCTTTGCACAGAAGTGTACCAATTCAAGTTACCATACTTAACGTAGCATACAAAGGTAGAGAAAGATCTCGGAAGAGCTGTAGTGAACTGAAATGTACGGGAAAAGAATAATTACATAGGAAATCATGAGGAATTAGGGAATCTAGGAGACTACAAAAAGTGAATGCATTCGTACCACCTAGAATGATTTTAATCTATATCATCAAGAGTCTCCAGCCATTGGTCCTTAGGGTCTCAAGGAATCAAGCCAACCAGGCGATCGATGCTCTCTTCGTGGTTGGTTCAAACCAACAGTCAGAGACTTCGTGGACTAATGCCATTCTTCGAATTTACCACTAAATATTTCCAACCAGGTCCTGTATCAGTTAACGTTGCTCCATGAGGAAGGCGGTGACTCACTTTACGTAACACCTATCCTAGCCATCCCACTGAACGTAGCTGCAAAGCCTGATCAGTTGACTTTATTTCCTCGGCTAAGACTCTACGCCTAACCTCAATATTTCCCACTACACAGGGGATGAAGCGCAACCATCTGTCGTCAAAGATAACTAGTCTTTTCAAGTTTACCACCTTCAGTTGCTATGTCTAACAGTCATAATATAGGACGCGGCGAAGTGTTGCTCAGTACATCGTTTTCTAATAGGTGGTTGGATACTTGGACTAATTTATTATTAAAACATGTTTGATCATCTTTTCAGATGTAGTGTCATCGTTTCTTTTTTAGTTTCCTCGTTTAACCTGTCATACTTATTGAGAGTACCGGTGCTTCAACAGTATTAATGATTGTTATGGCTGAAATAACAATTGTTTTTATTATTTACTTCATAATGTCTTCAACCTTGAGCTTTGAAGTTTAAGTAGTGAAGGAGTTTTTTTCATGGGATGGGGTTAGCAGCCTCGCGCCAAGCATTCCTCTTAACCAGTAGGCTTACTGCCGCTTAGATGAGGTTGAGAAGCGCATCATCGGTTGGGAATCTAACCAAGTGCATCGTTGGTGGGCATCCCACCTCTGAACCAGCGACTCTGGAGTAGCGTAGTAACGTAATGTATACATGAATGGTGCGAAACTGATAAATCTTTCAAATACTCAAACTGTCCTAATGAGTAGTAAACGAAATATGGCGGACCGACTGACTGACTAACTGGTTTCAACATATGGCGGACTGACAGAAGTTGAGAGATCGACTGAATGACCATATGTTCGCCATGAGATCTGATCTAAGAAATGTTCACCGTAATGAGCATGTACTGATGAACAGGGCAGGTCAGTTATCCAGAGATTTTTGGTTTTTGACAGTCTCCTAACTTGGGCCCGATTGTAACGAAAACTCTTCTAACACGATGTTATTGCCTAATTCCAATGAACGTTTCTAAGTAAATTCAGGTTTTGAAGACAATAATATTGCATCTCTTTTTCTTTCGTTCCCAGGAATTGAGTTCCATTTATCATGGTGAAAGCTGCAGCAAACTGGATAAAGTATTAATACTCCAAATATTCTTTTGTCTAACGACATCATTCCATTCTATGGAATTTTTAACATTATCGTCTGGACAACTGGACACTGCTAAATGTAATATGAATTTTTATTTATATTATTAAAGTGATTAGTATTATTATGTATTGTAGATTCATTTTTGTAGGGATTGAAATCACTTAGACATACCCCCGTTTTTTTCTGTAAAAGTAGACGACAAAGCGTTTCATGGCTCGTTGGTCTATCCCGTCTAAGTTCATGCTTAATTTATGTACTACTTACTATTAGTAAGTAGTATAAATTTATCCACGGAATTTCAGAAGTTTATTTGTAGCTTCAATGTCAGCAAAAAGTTTGAGCATTGTGGAATAGATCAAATAAAGTATAATTATATTTCAATAGTTTACACACAATGATAAGTTTTGTTCTTGGTTGTGCTGAGTAACCCTTAATACATGTATCCGGTGTGACCTTATTGAATATAGATTCTGTTATAAGTCTCTCTTTCCATTTGTTCATATTAGTTTTCAGAGTACAAACATTGTTCCAATCGATATTGTGATTTTTGTCCCATGCATGTGCAGCTATAGAAGATTTTTTTTTGAATTGTTGTAAACTTGTGTTTCTGTTGGTTGACCTTTGGTTAGGCGTTTATATCCATTCACTCTTATTTTGAGTGATCTGGACGTTTGACCCACATATTTAGTCGAACACTTATAGCACAAAATATTTTGTTGATTACATCATTTTTATTCATCATTTGTGTTGGGTCTTTTAGTTGACTTATCTTAATTTTAATTAGATTCGTTTATTTGAACATGGTGCGAATCCAAATATTTTTGAGATTTCTTCTAATTGCATCTAATGTACCATTTTTGTAAGGTATTGTGATTGTTTTTTGCCTTCCTTCCTTCTTATCATTCTTTGGTTTTGCCCTCTTTTTTCTCTTCTTTACGTTATCTCTAATAAATTCTTCGGGATAGTTGTTGTCGAGTAACATTTTGAATAGGACGTTCATTTCTTCACGTTGGTCCTCTGGTGTTGTTGTAAGTCTATGTATTCTATTTGCAAGACCTTGTATTAATCCTCGTTTTACCGTGAGTGGTACATCAGATGCAGTTAGAAGAAACCTCAAAATATTGGGATTTGCAACTTGCTTAAACCAACGAATCTAATTAAAAATAAATATAAATAGTATTTTAGTGACAAACGTGCTCTGGGCTGAAATCGACTACAAAATATTGTAAAATGGGAGACAATCGTGGTGATTAGTCACAATAGATTCGTGAAATGAGCTGACTTTTCAATTTTCCTACCCCATATTCTACGAATCTGTGATGAATAATCACCACCATTATCTCCCATTTTACAATATTTTGTAATCGATTTCAGGCTAGCACTTTGTCAATAAAATACCATTTATATTTTGACACCCCAAAACTAATCTGTTATTCTACGTACAAAAAAGTGTATCAGCCGCATAACTGGCCATTATTGTAATGATAATAAATATTACATTTTATAATTGTAGTGACCTGAGGGGAAATTATTGAAAAGAATATTCTTCGCTCAGATTGACTTTTAAAAATAATGTAATTTACAAAGTATCTTGTGCTAAGTGTTCGACTAAATACGTGGATCAAACGTCCAGATCACTCAAAATAAGAGTGAATGAACATAAACGCCTAACCAAAGGTCAACCAACAGGAACACAAGCTTACAACAATCTAGGAAGAAAACCGTCTATGGCTGTACATGTATGGGACAAAATTCACAATATCGATTGGAACAATGTTTGTATTCTGAAAACCAATATTGTAACGACAGAAGACAAAGGCCAGGCAACAGATTGTTTATTAAGAAAATCAACAGATATTTATCGTCAGAGGAGAAGCAACGTTCTCTGATTGGTTGTTTTCTTGCTGAAGGTTATTCTGTATTGCTTGTGACCGTTTCTCAGAAATTTAAGTCATGTATCTGCGAGTCGTATTTGCACACGTTAAGTCTGCTGTGATTGGCTGGTGATTTCCTCAAAGTTAAGCTTTGTTGTTGTTTTTCTCATAACGCCGATTCGGTACGTAACACTGACGTAAATTGCTGTCTACAATTTTGGCTTGTTAGCAGCCAGCTCACCACAATATGAACAAATGGAAAGAGAGACTTATAACAGAATCCATATTCAATAAGGTCACCCCGGATACATGTTACAAGGGTGACTCAGCACAACTGTCAACAACCTGGAATAAAATTCTGAATACACAAAAATGAATGAACAAAAAAGAAAAATAACCTGTATCTCTGAGTAGAAATCATAAAACACTTGGGAGCTGAGCTCATCGGTAGTATAATGGTTTTAACTCAGCTTCGAGCACTGGTTATTATTGTGATTGCTTCGACTAGGAATTTGGTGTAGTCATCTACTGAATGATATAGAAAATGGTACATAGAGAATCTCAGAGATGTCTTCTGATTCAGCAGCAGAACACTCACCAACCTGGCACTTCGTTTGGAGTTCTGTTCTCGGGCGCCAACGCACCCTTAGACCTCATCTAGCCGATAGTGGGACCGGTACAGAGGTAAGCTTAGGCCATGAGTTTAGCAGCTCCACCATTGCTACTGAAACTTCAGAGCTCAAATTTGAAGCCTTATGTTCCTCTCGAAACCCAGAGGAATAAAATAAACGAAGCAATATTCTTCAAATTAATCCATATCATTATGCCCACACATCACTCATTCCATCAGCTTCTTTCTTCATTTCTTTTTATCAGGTTATACACCTGTTGACTGTATAAAAAGCGCTTTACAAGATACATCATCCCATTTATTAATTCGAGCGATTCAACTGGCGTGTAAACTTACCATTTTGAAAGGTGATGGTGGTCAGCTAGAGAATAGTGATACAGATTGCTGTACAGACTATGAGACATCATTCAACTTTGAACCGAAACAATTGATTCAGTTACTTCTATATCATTTTAATCTATCAGGAAATAAGAAAGAAGAGAAAGGGAGTATGGAAATGCTTTGGTATCTACATGATAAGGATATTCCAATTAGTGATTTAAAGGTGAGTGTAAATCATTTCAGTGTATATATAACGATATATATATATTTCTATAGTTGGTTTGTAAAGATTAGATTTGTTTATACGAGTTTGACCGCGGGTTGATATCAATTAGGGAATCATTGAGAACCAGTACTGGAGAGCTGTTTCATCCTAGCTCGGGATTTATCGGCAGTACGCACCCTTTGGGGTTCGAACTCAGGCATACCATTCAGCCACTTGGACTCGTTCCAATGGCTAGCCCATGAATTCTAACTACTACTAATTCGTGACTTTAGCTCGACCCCAACCAATGTCGTCCTTGGGACGACATTAGGTTCGAACCCCAGTGGGTGCGTACTGCCGATGATTCCCAAACTAGGATGAAACAGCTGCCCAGTACTCCCCGGTTTTCAATGGTTCTCTAACTGATATCAATTCGTGATCAACTCATATATATATATATATATATATATATATATATATATATATATATATAATAAATTTTCCTTCACGTCCCACAGTTGAACATAGGGCTTCAAGCTAGTGGCTTGAATTTTCTGTAGCAGTGTTTATTTTACAGGATGGGGTTGCTAGCCTCATGCCCAACCTTTCCTCTTTACCAGCATTATTTCTGGCTTAGCGAGGTAAAGGAGTGCGTCGGTCGGGGCTCGAACCCCGGACCACGTGCATATATATATATATATATATAATATGGATCCTCTAGATATCTGTAAAATAAAGTTACGAAAAGAGTTCTCTTTGATAACTTAGGTTCTCTTAATTACTTTATAGATTAGTAGTATCTGTTCAGCCTGCTTAAATCACTGAACTAATTTACCACGGAGTATAATAACTTACTCAATTTTACTTTGTTTTAACCATCTATTTACGTCTTTGAAGAACAATCTGTACTCTTGTGCATCTTTTGAGTGGCTTTCAGCAGACTGAAAGTAAACTTTTGGGTTGCTGAGTTATTCAAAAGACATAGGATTGTGAACGTACTAGGATTTAGATACATTTGTTATAATTTACGTGAATAGTCTAGCAACATGTTGGTTAATTTCAGTTCTTGCAACATATCGCGTTGTCTGTTTCGAAGGGACAGGTACGTCGGAAGGTGTTGGGGCTTTTCTCACACAGAACGAAATCCCGTTAATGATATACTGTAGATTACTGTCTGTCTGTCTGTTTTCGACATAGAACTTTGCACAAATGTGCGGAAGTTCAAGTCGCCACATTCCGTGTAGCACGCGAAGGAAGAGAAGAAAGTACAAGAAAAGCATAATAGAAACAGTGAGCAGAGGTGTGAGACAAAGGAGTAATAAAGAAATACAAAACAGTTTCATTGAAGATCATAAGTCACAGGGAGTGGATGCATCTGCGCCACTGAGAACGATTTTGAGCCATGTCACCAATTGTTTCCAACCATAGATTTTTACCGTCCCGAGGACCCCAGCCTGGAAGTCTACACCTTTCTACGTGGCTTAGACCAACTGTTGTGGATTTCATTGACTGATGCCAAGTTTTTGTTTGACCGCCGCTAGCCTTTTTCCTGCCTGACCCTATATCCGCTAACATTGCTCGTCGAGGGAGGCGATGACTTGGCATACGTAACACATGTCCTAACCATCTCAGTCGATGTAGCTTCACGACTTCGTCGATTGATTTCCCCTGTTTACCTAGAACTCGACGCCTAACCTCCATGTTGCTCACCTTATTATGCCACTTTACACGGGAAATGGGGCGCAGGCACCTATGATCAAAGACAGCTAGTCTTTTCATGTCTTCCACTCTCAGTGGTCAGGTCTCACAACCATAAAGGAGGACGGAGCGGACTGATGAGCAGTACACCCGCCCTTTGGTCGATAGTCGAACATCTCGTCTACGCCAGAGTCGGCGTAAACTAACAAATGCGACACGAGCCCCCTGTGTTCGTGCTGAGATTTCGTCAGAGATCAACCCGTTGGCACTGGCTGATGTTACTTCCCAAATAAGTGAAGCGGTCAACGTGCTCTACCACTTCACTTCCTATTTTTAAACTAGGCGTCCATGTAGTCCAGTCCTGTAACATCATCTTGCATTTGGCGGGAGCGAATCGCATGCCAAACATTCGTAGATTGCAGCTCAAGGTGTTTAGAAGACTCTGCATTTCGTCAGCGTCTTCGCCTAGAAGGACTATATCGTCTGCATATTCCAAGTCAACGAGATTATTCCCCGGTAGCAAGTCAATTCCTGAGTCACTGAAGTCACCTAGGGTTAAGTCCATTAACACATCTATGATGAAGTTGAATAGAAAAGGAGATAATGGGCATCTTTGACGGACACCACAAGTCGTCATCAGTTCAGATGACAGCTCGCCGTAAGCCCTCACCTGGCTGTATGAGTACGAGTAGAGTGCCTTAATCAGTGCAATATATTTTCTTGGAATTCCCTTTACAGCCAAGCATCTCCAGAGAACTTCCCGATCGACAGAGTCGAATGCTGCCTTTAGGTCAAGAAATATAATGACTGTTGGACGCCGGTAGGAATGCCTATGTTCTAGAATCTGTCGGAGGGTGAAGATATGATCAATACACCCTCTTCCTGGTCTAAAGCCTGCCTGGCTCTCTCGTGTTTGTGCTTCCGGAGCACCACTGATTTACAGCAGGGTTCTGTATACGGAGTAAGCAGGTAAAAAGATGCTGAAAGTTCTATAATGTAAATAAATATGTTTTCAGATCAATTCTCAATGATCGGAGCTTTTAAAAGTCAAAGAATTTACCTCATTGAGTGTCATATTTCTTCGGTATCTACGCAGTCTCAGTTCATTTTGTATTCCTTTGCGTTCCGAGTGAAACATATGGCTTCCAGGTTATGCATTGTAATTTCAGTAGCGGCAGTGTATTTTTGTTTTAAGTCAGTGAAGTTGTTAGCTAACGCACCCAACCTTCCCTCTTTCCCGGGCTTACTACGAGCTAAGCAACTCTCAGATGTGCGTCAGCGGGGAATTGGACCCTAGACCACGCATGTGGTCGGCGAACGTTCTAGCGTTGAAACACCAACTCTTCACATAATACAGTCTGTGCGTAGAAGATTTAATTCATATGTGCATATAAATTAGTGGATAGGTTCTTATTAATTTTTGTAGATTATGATTTGACTACTACCAAGCACCAATCTCCGTGGTACAGCTGAAGTTTATGTATACTAACTAATTACACTTTTTGTTATATGAAAGCCCTCGGTTGGTTTTATCTTTTCGTTTGTGGACATATTTCTGAAGTAAAAAGTGACTATGGTTTTTCTGGTAACAATGTTATTATTCTTACACTTTATGTTTCAGTGCACATATAGCTTACTTGTGGAATTCTTCAGTACATTTCCCTCGTATGCATCACAATTACATAAAATGAACTTCATTGAAGGTATACAACTTGGTAAGTTATTCATGCAATCATCAAACTTTCAAAATTACTTGTAGTGTTGACAGTTCGCCCATATATTTGGTCAGAAATCGGAAGATTTGAACTGATTCGGCTATCCTTCTCTCTCTCTCTCTGAGCTGAATAAAACCGGTTACACCGTTGATGAGCTCGACCTCAAACTAGCGAAACAGCCGTCTGGTGTTTACATCACTTTGGTTTAACTAGCAGATTGTTATCATTGTTTCCTTTAATTCCTAGAGGAACATAGGGCTTCAGTCGAACGTCTCGATTGCGTTCGGTTCTTCGCCAACGTTTTTACCTGGCTCCACGTCTGCTCATATGCTTACATCTCCCTTTCGCATGACCTTTTCCATGTCACCCTCCCATTGACGACCAACTCACCGCATCCCGTTTGGGTTCCACTCGCGCGATGGCCTGTCGTGTGATGTCACTTGATGCCTTTCTCAGAGTGTGGCCAATCCACCTAACTCCATTTTTGCTGCATATTTGTTGCACAATCGGGTCCTGGTTGGTTCGCTCCCAGAGATCCCTGTTGCTGATCTTTTCTGGCTGGCCATCTGATCTTGGGTGGTATTGAGCGAAGACAGCTGTTGATGAAAGTCTGTAGTTTGTTCGAAATGCCTTTCGTGACGCGGCATCAAGTCTCTAATCCATATAGTAAGTAGCACTGACCTCACATTGGAGTTGAAACTCCGGATCTTATTTTTCATGCTGAGTGCTGTCGACCTCCACACAGACTTGACAGTAATGAAAGCTTGTCTTGCTTTCCCGTTCCTCGCTGCTTTGATATCCTCGTCAGTTCCGAACTAGAAGATAAGTTATTTTTCCCTTTGGTCCCGAGTCGAATATAGGGCTTCAATCCCTGAATTTTTGTTAGCGGCTGTGTTATTTTGTTTTTTACTGAGTGGGGTTGATAGCCTCACATCTCGTGACAGAATGATCAACGAGTTTTCCTTGTAACCTGAAGCGTCTCAGTTTCCATCGCCGGTGTGGTCATTGGTGCATACTACCTGCTGAAGATTCTCACAGTGAGACGAAATAGCTGTTTAGTACTGCAACACTGTAGTTGAGAAAATATTATCGGTTTAACTGTTATTGTCTTGTGAATATTTATGCCAATACTACTTATCTCTAGCTTTGCTTTGCTATTTATGTATAGTCTGTTTTTCTTTTCAGATGGAGCAACACGTACTGGTTTATTGTGTCAATTTTTATGCACAATGTATGCCAGACTATCGCAGTACTTATTTCTTGATTCCTCAACTATTTGCAATGCTGGTGGTGGTGGTGGTTGTGGTGATGTCAAGTCAGAACAACTCACTTATTCAAATGTGTTATCTAAATTAACTAATTCTATTCCAGGGGACCGTGTATCATGCTCGTCATCATCCTCTTCTACACTGAATAGCATAACTTCGTCTGTACTCTCTGCTGTCGGTTTAGTATTCCAACTGACTGGAGGTATTCCATTGACACAAAGAGAACAAACACTTTTAATGTCTGCGGTATCAAAGTTTTTAGGTGAAAAAGTAGACAGGGCTTCATTAGGCTATCGTCTATCACCGTGGTTTGTTTATCAGTTAGCCAGACAGGCGAATAGATATGGTCAACATGAATTCGCGTGTAGATTATATGCGAAGTTATCATCTTTGGTAAGTCGAATGCGAAATCATTATTACTGTTTAAAAAGTTTTACTGTAACCAATATCTAAATGTGATTAATTATCAGATGGGTTGTCCTGCAGGGATTTCATTGAATACAGGTGTTTGATCACGAGGTGACATCATTTAGAGATTAGGTTTGAACGCGGGTGGGCGCGTACCGATGAAGAATCTCAAACTAGGATACGGACAGGTGTCCAGTACTCCTTGGTTTTCCAAATATGATTAACACTTCGACAGTTGGCCCGTTTGTTTAGGAATTCTTCATTACTAACATCGCCATGGACTACATCGACGCCTAGTTTAAAAATAGGAAGTGAAGTGGTAGAGCACGTTGACCGCTTCACTTATCTGGGAAGTACCATCAGCCAGTGCCAACGAGTTGATCTCTGACGAAATCTCAGCACGAACACAGGGGCTCGTGTCGCATTTGTTAGTTTACGCCGACTCTGGCGTAGACGAGATGTTCGACTCTCGACCAAAGGGCGGGTGTACTGCTCATCAGTCCGCTCCGTCCTCCTTTATGGTTGTGAGACCTGGCCACTGAGAGTGGAAGACATGAAAAGCCTGACTGGCTGTCTTTGATCATAGGTGCCTGCGTTCTATTTCCCGTGTAAAGTGGCATAATAAGGTGAGCAACATGGAGGTTAGGCGTCGAGTTCTAGGTAAACAGGGGAAATCAATCGACGAAGTCGTGAAGCTACATCGACTGAGATGGTTAGGACATGTGTTACGTATGCCAAGTCATCGCCTCCCTCGACGAGCAATGTTAGCGGATATAGGGTCAGGCAGGAAAAAGGCTAGCGGCGGTCAAACAAAAACTTGGCACCAGTCAATAAAATCCACAACAGTTGGTCTTAGCCACGTAGGAAGGTGTAGACTTCCAGGCTGGGGTCCTCGGGACGGTAAAATTCTATGGTTGGAAACAATTGGTGACATGGCTCAAAACCGTTCTCAGTGGCGCAGATGCATCTACTCCCTGTGACTTATGATCTTCAATGAAACTGTTTTGTTATTCTTTATTCTCCTTTGTCTCACACCTCTGCTCACTGTTTCTATTATGCTTTTCTTGTACTTTCTTCTCTTGCTTCGCGTGCTACACGGAATGTGGCGACTTGAACTTCCGCACATTTGTGCAAAGTTCTATGTCGAGAACAGACAGAACATCGCCATACTTCATACTTCGTATTCGGCGCATATGTAGCACTGATACTGTGGAAGATGAGTTATACATTTTGAGGAAAATCCTAATGGAAAATGGATTTCCACCACGTTTTATAGATAAGAATATACATTTAAAGCCTACAAAATGTGACTTATCAACCGTCCCCAAGAAAATACTTTACATGAGCTTGGAATTCAAGGGGACTTAGCTTCCGATATCATGAAACGAAGGATATCACAGTCCTTGAAAAGAACATTCCCTGCTGCATCTCTGAGAATAGCCTTTACTAGCTGACCATTATTGTTCAATAACCTGAAGGACAAGATCCCACTGTTGACCAACTCTATGTGCTCTTGTGGAGCTAGGTATATCGATCGTTCGGCTCGAGTTTTATCCAAGAGGGTGCAAGAACACTATCCTGCATGGCTACGAAAAAGTGGAAGTGGAGCAATAAGGAGCGCGATCATTGAACATCTGGTCGATAATGATCACTCTATCTCTATAGCCTCCGCCTTTAAAGTCATCTACAAAGCAAAGAGTAATTTACCCAAATCCCTACGTACCCGACTCATCTGTATTGCTGAAGCTTTGGCTATCGAAACAGAAAAGCCAGATCTCTGTGTACAGAAAAAGTTCGTTCAACCCCTCCAACTTTCATGGTCTTAATCCCTCTATGCTAAAGTATGGTAATCCCCAAACATATTTTAGCTCTACCAATTTTTCATTTTGTATACTCTTCCTTATTACGTCAATTGATACTATTACTACTCTCACTTTGAACTGTCCCCGGTATTATTTCACTTGTTCCACTTGTCATTCTGAATCAATTCTTTTTACAACGATAAATTCTATGCTATTAAATTTCACACTATATTACGTAACGTTTTTGTTTTATTCGATTTGTCTACTAATCCTATAATTGCACACCCTTTTTCAAGTTCTATCCATCCTATGAATTATTCTATCTATATATGACATTAATTTGCTTTGCCACTTGACATTTAACTATGAGTATAATCGCAAACATTTTAGTTTTAATTGAACTTCATATTATTATTATTATTATTTAATGCATTCGCACCTAAGATTCAATTCCCTCACGGGATATAACTTCTTAAAAACCATATATATACGGCTGTACAGCTTGATGATAAATTCGTTGAAAATAGTCTCTTCGCTGAATCACTTGTTTTGATTTTCTACACTTCATGTGTCTACATTAAACAGTGTACAGGTGCACTTGATTGATTTTTATACAGTCTACTTTTCATCACTGTGTATAGCGTTCGAACCCTAGTTCATATACCGATGTTTCTACCGCTAGGTGACATATAATACGTTTAGTTCACTGTTAACTACACGCAAATACACGTGACTGTTGAGCAGTATGTCATCTCACTTATTAAAAAGATGGCTTATAGACCACTAGTCTATTTTCACTCTTCATCTTAGGCTGTAGGTTGCTGGAGTTACGCGTAACCTTCTCTCCCGGGCTTATAAATACCTAGATGAGTTTTATTAGTGCGTCGGCTGGTATTTGGACCCGCAGATTCGGAGTAGTTGGCGAGCATTCTACGATTGAAACACCGACGCGCTATCTCACTGACAGTTGTCAGTAGTGATAATATATGTAATCTTGGAGAAGAGTTTCTTAGTTAGACTACATGCTCCCTCCTGCCTTATGTAAATTAGGTTGACCATAGAACTTCAGTATGATTGGTTCATCAACCAATTTTTCCCCTCTATGGTTTGTTCGGTTTTTCATAAGCTTTGCTTAATTTTCAAGTATTAGTTTTGTAGGGATTTTGTTTGATTGCATGGAGTGACTGGTCCTATTCAGGCAGTTAACCTGGGGTTCTAATGGGAAGCTTTGACCAGTAGGGTACTGCAGGTTGAAGTTGAGGCAGTAACTCATCGAAGAAGACATTGCGATGTGGTCGCGCTATGTCGTGAATTGGCAGAAGTTAGAATTCAAGGACCATTGGGTCAGGTCCCAGTGGCTCAATGGTCTACGAGCTCGCCTTGTGACCAGAAGGTCCTGGGATCGAATCCCGATGGGTGCGTGCTGCTGAAGAGTCCCAGACTACGACGAGACAGCTGTCTAGTACTTCCAGGTTTTCCAATGGTTCTCTAACTGACACGTCAGCTTATGATTTTCTTAATTTGTTTTAAATATAAGTATCGATTTGTTTGATCGAGTTTTTTCCAATGGTGGAGAAAATCTTTTGCTATGTAGTAACTTTTCTCTCCCTTTTGACATGAACCGTTTTGTTCGTGACAATGACCTTTCTTTCCTTACTTCCTTATCTATTGGTGTTATGAAGATCGTCCTACTATTATCCAATTGAATTCTGGATGGAATATAGGGTTTCAACAGTCCATCTCCATTTTATCTTGTTCTCTGAAGTTCTCTTTGACTGTCTGCACGATTACCCCTAAGCTTTCATAATTTCCTTACATGATCTCCTTCATGTCACTCTCCAATGCTGAACTCGTCGTTTTTCATTCGGGTTCCACTCGAGTTATGGCCTGTCGCTGGATGTCACCCAATGGTTTCCTCAGCGCGTGTCCGATCTGATCCATCTCCATTTTATGCTGCATATTTGTTGGACAATAGGTTGTTAGTTGGTGCGTTCCCAGAGTTCCTTGTTACACATTCCAAACCTTTGTTTTCCTTTTTGTTTATTAGGCGTTGACACTTTTATCCGGAATAAAAGTTGGTTGACGAGCTTATCTTATTGTTCTATTGTTTTTATCCGAGAGTCTTCAGTGAAAACTAGTCAATAGTGCACAAAAATGTAGTTTATTTCTATTTTTAGTAGTGTAGTTTAGTTCTTTCTATGTGACTTTTCTGCTCCTAATTGACTACTGCTGGTTCATGCCATCCTCGCTGACTTTCACAATATGACCAACTTATCTTTCAGTTTCTCTTTTCTCCTCTCAGTTTCAGCCTTTTTCTCTGATATTTCTGAGGTCAGTGTAGATACAATGATACTATAACACTGGAGGTTATTCATGACACAACTCAGTCCTGTTTTGTTATTTTATCAACCTTTTCAATAAAGTAAACATTATAGGGACGATAGATCCGACCAATACGGTTTTTTGACTCATTACTTTATGCAAATCCGACCATTGTATCAAGTTAGTAGTTTTCAGAACTTCATCATGAACTGACATCGGTTCGAGAACCACTGGATCGGGTCCCAGTAACTGAATAGTCAACGAGCTCGACTTGTAACTGGAGAATTTCCCAGGTTCTCACCCCGGTGGGTGCATACTAACGAAGAGCCCCTGACTAGGCCGAAACAGCTGTCTAGTACTCTCGGGTGTTCCAATAGTTCTCTAACCGATATAATCCTGTAACCAATCAAATGCCTGCAAACCAACACTTTATTATTAGTAGCTTTAATTTAATTTTAACCTTAAACTATTCACGTACTTCCTACTTTTTTGCTTTCTACAGACTTTAACAGAGAAATCTTACTTTTGGTTAACCGGTTTATGTGAATTCAGTCAAATGGAATCGAATCTTATCAATTTAGCCAATTGTCTGGAGACAGATGTGAAGAGAACACTTACACAACGCCATCAGAAATCGGTGCCGCATCATCAGGGAATACAACCTCTTGGATAAGTAAACTGATTATTGGTTTAAGAAATGCTGCTGAAGAATCCTGTAGAATACAAACCACTATTATAGTAAGTGCATATACCTTGATTGTTTGTTTCTTAATTGTTATGAGTATTTATCTTCAAATGTTTTCACCTTCCTTCCTCTCAGTGTATCTGTCTGTAAAGGGGAATGATGCTCAGGAAGGCTTCGTGTGCTTTTGGAAGTGTATGGGCGGTTGTTACTTCCCGGCTGCCCACACTGTGGGAGTTGGTTGATTCTCCGGGTACCTGAAACAGAAAGAGGGTTAGTGTTGCGTGGCCGTAGAGCCCAGGGGACAACTGCTTGAGGCCGGTCACACACGGCCTGTATGAACTGGTTTCAAACAATTTTCAGAAACACTATTGGAAGCCTTTCATTCAGTTGTATGGGACTGTATACTGCTGATTGATTACAATGAGTAGTTGAATAGTACTCACACTGACTGGTTGTGCTTGCTAGCCGGCCAGGTCTCTCCTTTGAGGCTGAGTTCATCATTGGTGTACCCGGTTTTAGCCAACTCAGAGAGCCGGATACGAATTCAAATCACACAATATCTGACTATCTACTTAGGCATACTGGTAATCCCATAAATCAACTTCATAATTTGCAGATTGCGAATTCGTCTTTTGATTTAATGTTTGTTGTGATAGCTTGATGAAAAGATGACCTATATTTCTGGAGGACATCCAACCTTGTATTGCTACAAGAAAAAATTTGTATTCTTATGTACTTTGGTATTTGACAATCCATTCCATTTATGAAGCATAGTAAAACACTATACACAGCGGTCAGTGTAAAGAAAGACCGCTTAACGATGGCTATTTCTGTCTCCGAAAATGATGTTGCGTGTGTGTGTGTGTGTGTCAATAGTATGCGTAAACCTCAGTTTTGACCTTCAGAAGTTTACGGATTTCAAAGTTATTTACTGACTATTTAATTGGTAGGTGGTGGCTAGCAGTGGAATGCAGGATGCGCACTTCGTCCTATTTAGGACTCGTCATCTGGATGTACCTGATGAGTCCCAAATAGGACGAAATGCGAATCCTGCATTCCACTGCTAGCCACCATCCACCGATTAAATACTACTTAAATGCCCAGACATCGTCGAAGCATCTGCACAAGAAGACGACATGTCAACCTGAGACCGTGCACTTCGGTCCACTCAACCGACGGGAAAATCTCAAATTCAATTACTTACTTACTGACTGGGATTTCAACGTTGATCTTTGTATAAAAGTGTAGCATTTCAGGTTGTCACACTTGTGTTATTGCATTGGATTTACTAGAAAAATAAAAACATTATCACTGTTTTGAGTGTAGACTTGTCAGTTTAGGTGTCCAACATCTAATTACCGATTTTTAGGTTCGAACTACGTCTCACTTACTGAAGTGAGAACAATTAGGTTTTGAAGCTAGTTTTCTAAAAATCAGCTTAATTAAGGACTAAAGCTGACCATTCCAAAGGTTCCAGATAGGACAATTGTTACCTCATTCTTGAAGCATTTACTTGAATAGTTATTAAACACCGGACCGTGTATGCGTCGTATTCAATGTCAGAAGACAACAAACGGCAGATTTTCAGAAGTTCGGTTAGATAGTGAGAACCTTAAGGCTTCATATAGAGAAAAACTAATCAGAATGTCGGTGGAACGTAGTAGTTTTACTTGTCCTGTAGAAGCTTGACACTGTCTCGAGTCTTTTTGAAAAAAGTGGTAGTCAAAAAGCATCTAAAAGTTGGGGAGGGGCTAAGGCATCTTAATCATTTCTTTACAGACAACTGAATGAATATTAAACATTCCATCAGGTTGTTTAAGTGCAATGCTTCTGCTTTGCTGATCGAGTCAATACCTTTGGTTTTAATAGTGCATACTGCCCATACATAGACAGTAGATCTAGGATTTCTATTTAAAAAAATTTTCCAATACTCTTCTAATCAACATCGTCTTTTCCAGTTGTTTTTCTCTACCATAACTGTACTCACTACTGTTATTAAGTAGTATCTACAATCTTTGTTCACATATTTTTTAAATTTTTATTCTCTTAATTGTCATTTTAGTGCATTGGAGGTAGTGATGGACGATGGTTTCAAGCAAAATATATTCAAATAAGAAGTTTGTTACTAGCCAGTCTATCGAATCTTTGTTCTAATGTATATCGTGCATTGAAAATTGAACGATGGTCTGGTTCCATTTTAATGAATCAGCCTTTTAAAAGTGATCCAATTCAAAATGAAGCTACTGATTTTACCACATATAGTAGGGATAGTAGTTCATCATCGCAAAGTTTAGTTTGGGTAAGTTATCTTCATTTGGTTGCATATCAACTTGCATTTATCTTATGTTCCCTTATCTATTGGTTGTGTTTGTTATCATAGAGAAAAGCTGAAATCTTAAACTATTGTCAGTAACATGATTTCATTTGAACATACTTACATGAATTTCAGTAGTGAAGTGGTGTTTTTATTCGACTTCATTGATATCAAAGTTATTAATTACCAATGTTCAGTCAATTCTGAATTCACTCAAGGAAGAAATATAAAAGTGGGGATCTTTTTTGAAAGCATTGTACTACTTCGAATGCAAAGGGTCAAGTCGCAATGCCTCTGTGAAAACGTATAACCCTTAACCTTATCCGACATTAGGATGTACTTCAAAAACTCTGTGTGTCTGTTTTCGACATAGAACTTTGCACATATGTGCGGCAGTTCAAGTTGCCACACTCCATGTGGCACACAAAGCAAGAGAAGAAAGTAGAAGAAGTGCATTATACGGACAGTAGACAGGGATATGAGATAAAGGAATAGTAATAATGAAGAACAATATAGTTTCATTCGTTATTATAAGTCACAAGGAGTGAATGCATCTGCGCCATCTATTGAGAACGATTTTGAGCCATATCCCTAACTGTCTCCAGACCTCATTGGTTTTTACCGTCCCGAGGACCCCAAACAGGAAGTCTACACCTTCCTGCGTGGCTTAAACTAACTGTTGTGGATTTCATTTCAAAAATTCAGTTATCTGAAACCTATGTTTCATGAGTCGCACTCGTTATGTGTGACCTAATGACACTGCCTAGTCGCTCAAGATGATGTGGGTGAAAATGGATTCGAATCACGAGTCCAATTAGCTGAGAATCAAGTGTTTAAGTTAATGGGTCATATCCCCACTCCAGAAAGACGTTACTAATTAATTACTTTATAAATTATACTGCATGAACACGAACACTATACCATAAATATTTGTTATAATGGGATTGAAATTGTTGAATGGACATTTCATATAATTAATTCTAGGTTGACTGAAATACCGCTAACAAAACGTATGTACAGTTAAATGTGATATCGCAGTGGATGAACGTGTCGCTTATCCTGACTGACTTCTTTATTATGACGACGTCATTTTAAAGTATATCTGGGGGATCCGAGTGAAAATCTCATTTCTGATTCGAAAAAGTGTTGTGGTGGTGATAAATACTCAGTAAATTTTATTCAGGATAACGACCTTCTACCCTAATCGTTTTCTTACTTCACTTTTTCTCATGGTAATCGTATTATCAAGTGTAGGTTCTTGGTGGATATCATTATTTTCAAGTTTTATCATTAAACTGACTTCAGCTGGAGAACCTTTGGGAACTACAGAGTACTAGATAGCTGTTTCATCCATGTTTGGGACTCTTCAGTCTCCATGGTCCCACTGAGGATCGAACCCTTCATCTATAATAATAATAATAATAATAATATAATCACTTTAGTCTAGTAGTCTAGTCAATAACTACAAATATTTAATTGAATTTTAAATTTTCCTGTCGATTGATTGAACCGAATTGCTTGGTCTCATGTTGACATGTCGGCTTATTGTGCAGATGTTTCGGCGATGTCTGGGGACGTAATTAGAAGTTAATTAGTGGATGGCGAACTTGCAGTGGAATCCAGGATGCGCATTTCATCCTATCTGGGACTCGTCAGCCAGTGGTGTACCTGCATTCCCCAGTGAGTGATGATGATGTTCCCACCGAGGCTTGAACCCAGTGCCCATAGATTCAAACGCCGAAGCGCTATCCACTAGACCATTTAGGTCAATTAAATAATTAATATAACCCGTTGCACAAGAGGTGGCTCTCGTGGCCCAAGTGGTATAGTGGATAACGCTTTGGCGTTTGAAAGTATGGGCACTGGGTTCTAACCTCGTTGGAAACATCATCATCACTCACTGGGGAATGCAGGTACATCCACTAGCTGACGAGTTCCAGATAGGACGAAATGCGCATCCTGGGTTTCATTGCTAGTCACCATCCACCAATAACTACAGGTGTCTGACGTTCTAGTGAGAAGTTGTGACCAACAGGGCCACCAAGTTGGATGTGAGGACAAATACTCGCCGATGATGTTGGCTACGGTCGCTCCACACATCGGAATCGGCAGAGGTTAGAATTCATGGGTTATTGTACTCCGTATGAGTAGCTCAATGGAATGTTAATTGGTTTAGTATCCTGAAAGTCCTAGGTTTGACCCCTGATGGTGTTATGTGTGCGCATTACCAAAGAGTCCAAAGGAAGTATGAAACAGATGTCCAGTACTCCTTGGTTTTCAATGGTTCTTTAACTGAAATCACTTCATCGTGAACAGACTTGATATAATCTTATTAAGCGATGTTCTACAGATTTACCCTCTTCCATAGAGTGAGTCGCGATTGTGAAAAAACATTTAGTGAGTAGCATTCAGTCGGATTTGTCAGTCTTACATACTCTACATTCATGAGTATTTGTATGAATTCGAAACTTTAACACGCATACAAATAACACTGACATAGTGTAACTACAAATAGTTAACACGTTCAACAGGTTTAGGATCAATAGTAAGTCATCAATAAGAAATGAATAGTATTCATCAAAATACACATACATTAACGCAATAGTTAACATGGTGAAAATCATAAGCAATTATTGAATATCTAGAAGAATCGAAAAGGAACCTTTTTTTCAACTTAACGTACACAAAGCTAATAGTGTATTAGTAACGAGCTTTCAACAGATAGGAATTCAACTCAAAAAATAACTTTTAACCATCACTTACAATGATTAATACTCAACTAGAATTCTTGATGTCAAATACTAACCATATGTTGAATTCAAATATAGCGAAAACCTTGCTAAGTAGGTATAGTTCATTTCGCTTAATCACTAAAAAGTATGTCGCTTTCATTTCCATGTTACAAAAGTCTAGACATGCATGTCTTCTTGTTTTTTTTCATCAGGGTAATGTGTGTTAATGTGTAATTTTGATAAGTATTGTTCAAGCGCTTGGTTTGTAAAGATTAGATTTGTTTATACGAGTTTGACCATGGATTAATATCAGTTAGAGAACCACTGGAAACCAGTACTGGAGTACTGGACAGCCAGCTGTCTCATCCTAGTTTGGGAATCATTGATAGTACGCACCCCACACCACTGGATTCGAATCCAGGATCTTTCGATTACAAGGCAAACTGGTATACCATTCAGCCACTGAGACCTGATTCAATTCTAACTTCTACCAATTCGTGATTTTTACTGCGATCACCAACGAATGTTGTCGGTGGGACATCCCTCTTCATACTTGACTGGATGGATCTCACCAGAACTCCAGGAAACTCTGTCCTGTAGTGAGTGACTAGCGAGCACATCAGTGATCAACTCGTAAAAAGAAAAGAGATTTCTGTTCATTGCGTGGACACTTAATCCAGAATAAATTTATTATCATTATTATTATTATTATATTTTTTAAATATATAGGTGAAATTCGCCAGCTGAATTCTCAGGCAGTATATGATAATTATTGTCACTTCTTTCAGTGGGTATATTCACATATCAACAAGGTGACAGAAATAATTATTGGGGTGAATAAATTTCTTAATGAAATGTGATAATTATGATACATAAAGGTTATGAGGTGGTAAAAAAACACACCAATAAATAGTTAAGGCTACCTTAGAGATGGTGAAATAGGCGAAAATTTAACCACTGATAAGAAGATGGAAAAACTTTTAGGAATGAAATAGGAAAATGAAGGTATGTGGTCATTATAATTTCAAACATTTCGACAACTGAGATAAGACATCCATCCTACATGACATAAAAATTAGAAAACTGATAACAACAATACTCTTATCAACTGGACAATTCTTGAGAAGAAGTAGGGTCGGATGACTGTTTCATCATTGTTTGAAATTACCCAGTCATCAGTCATCACCATCGAATATTCGACCAATAATAATAATAATGGCATCTTTATTTTGGTCAGTGTTCATAAAATGTACAGAATTTTCAGAGGAGTTTATCACATGATATTTCCCCTTCGTGCAATATCTTTAAGTATACTATTCATTGACAGGATATCCTTCTTGTGACACAATGGCCTCTGAGTTGAAGCACAAACCATTCCGTTATAACATATCTTCTTTGTCCCTTTTAACAAATCCACGATATCTAGTTGAAAGCCAATTGTGAGATGTTCAAAAGTACGTTTTGAGACACAAGGACATAGTGGAGGAACAGCCATCTCATGTATTGGGACACGATGGCACCCATAATCGGGTTATTCCTCAAGTCTAGTAGGAACTTGCGGATCAGAAGCTTGTAAACATTTTAGATACACAGAAGAGTAGATAATACCATAAGTAGAGGTCATACTTTAATCGGCTGATACAAAGCGAACTAGAGAAAATATATGCAATAGAGAGATGGAAGTTTTTCGTAGCGCAAGTTTTAAGCAGGCCGCCAATCTATACTACTCTTGTCTACATTTCTCTCTTGTTTTAAGTTTATCATGGTGGGAAATAATATCTGCAGACATTTGTCAAAAGTTTAGCAATCATAATATCACTTAGTCCGTACGTGGTTCAATGGTAGGATGCTCGCTAACCCCGAACGTGGTCTGGTGTTCGACCCGCGGTCGACGCACTCTTAAACCTCCGTTAGCCGGTAGTAAACCAGGTAAAGACGGAAGGTTGGGTGTTAGGTTAACAACCTCGTCGTCCCGTAGTAAAAAAAGCAGACACTACCCCTACTGAAATTTGAAAGCTCAGATGTAAAGCTCTATTTGTCACTCGGAACGCAAGGCAATGAAAAAAGCTGAAGACATTGGCTAGCGGTCGCGCTATGTCGTGAATTGGCAGAAGTTAGAATTCAAGGACCATTGGATCGGCTCCCAGTGGCTTAGTGGTATACGAGCTCGCCTTGTAACCAGAAGGTCCTGGGTTCGAATCCCGGTAGGTGCGTACTGCTGAAGAGTCTCAAACTAGGACAAAACAGTACTCC